TTCCCCTATGACGTGTGGGATAGGAAACGCCGACAAACACGTACTATGCTCTATTATGGATAGATTATGTGATGTTCCCTTTTTTCGCACATCTCAATTTCTGATGGTTTTTATCACTAATAATCAATATATTTCCGAGTTATCGTTAATAATTCATGCTCTATATCCTTCCACGTTATCGCTGCTAAAATCATGTTCTATATCATTTTCATATTCTACATCCTCCATTACTCAACACCGCCTTCTGCTAACTACATTCATCTGTTTGAAACTCCTTGTTGGAACAGGTGCTAAGTAACCAACATGTATTCAGGTTTGGTTATAGTAACATCGACGGTGGGAATTATTGCTCATTCTATCAATCATTGGATTGTCAAGTCAAGATTAAATTATTTACATGTTGGAATATTACTTCGCTTTAACCAATAACATATAGACACAATCACACACACTTACGCACAATAACACACAAACACATACACACACACAGTATGTTGCTGATAAACCTGGAACTATAATTCGGGCGGACCGAGATTCGAACCCGTAATCATAGGTTTCTGGTGTTCTCTGGAGACGCAAGTCTGCTCACAGATTTGGGGCGCCTTAGACCGCTGCGTCTTGCATGGCCCAAGATATCCCTGGAAACCAAAGTTTTACTGTCGCTGAACGTCCCATCAAAACGACTAGAGTGACAAGGGAGACACTACAAGTTGTATGCTTCTCTCGAGGGTAATACGGTCTGATGTACGCCTCTTTGTGGCAGTGTCACCCGAGCCGGTTGGGGAGGGATGACATACAACGCATTTATCTTACCGCCATGTTAAATTACAAAATATCGACTATATGACATGTAGACAAAATGGCGTCTGCTTCTCGGCTGGATCATTTTAGTCAGTGAAGCATATTCTGACAAGCTTACAACTGCTGTAAAATGGTTAATTATGTTTAAGTTGAGTGTGCAAACGATTCAATGTATAAAATGGTTTAAATAAAGCAGTGAAAGTCGGTAAAATAAATTGTTACATGGTGAACTCAAAAACAGCTAATCGAACAGTTTTCGAGCTCCGTGCACTGCATGCGTCATATTATGACGTCATACGACTGTTAGCGATGCTGCGTCTCGGCGGAGAGTTTGGCAGTTACCGTGGCAGCGGGTAATATTTTTTCCAGTTGTCACCCTCCTGGGAGGGGTGACACGGAAACTAGTTAAAGCGTCATTGACCAATGAAATCAAAGTATTTGGCATGAAGTTAAGATAAAAAGTCTTGTATCATTCCTAGTACTCCGTGTACATGTACCAAGAAAAACCTCAGAAATTTAAGAATCCAAACTTTAGAACAAAAAACTTAAAAAAACGACAGCAATATATGTTTAAGACCACGCTAAACCTCCTCGAAGAGGCAGCATCCAACATTACCAAGATGTTTTCATCCAACATCGTGTGGAAATCAACAACAGCTAATCAGTATCAAACTCTTCAGATCGTTTATTAAATTATGTACAGCAACTTTCATAAAATTAATTGATTTTGCCAAACATTCGCATTTGAAGGCACTGATAAACAGGGTAATAAATATAAATATTTTAGTACTTTACAAAACGTCGCTAATACGAGCGGTTGAGTGGATATTACGCCAATTTAGCAACATTCTAGCCATACCACTGGGCGAAAAGAGGAATGGGCGTCACACGAGTTGGCAATCGAACCCGGTCATTTGGCCAAAACAAAGCTTGCAAAGTTCTTCCTTAAAGGAAATTATTCATTGTGGTCATTTTTGTTTTTGTTGGACCAATTTGAATCTCGAAGTTTCCGTAAAACCGCACACAAGTAATGAGCCTCGTTCAATGGTGGATAAATCACGTGACACGGGTAACCAAAATGACCAACGCAATTAATGACAGCACGGTTTCACTGTTAAACTTCTGCCACAAACTGCATTCTGAAGTATGCTGTTCACTGGCAGTCTTAGTGCCCGTCGCATGGCAATTAGCGCATATGGAACTCAAATTGTGAGTGGTGGGCGCTTCCTTTTCGGCGGAACATGTTCACCTTTTGGGCGGGACATGTTCACCTTTCCGCGAAGAGAATATAGGAGGCCATATAAGGTAAAATATAAAAATACACGTAAAATGTATGTGTGTGTGTGTGTGTGTGTGTGTGTGTCTGTGTCTCTCTCTCTCTCTCTCTCTCTGTCTGTGTATGTCTCTGTGTGTGTCTCTGAGTGTGTGTATGTGTGTCCGTGTGTATGTCTGTCTGTCTCTCTCTATCTCTCTCTGTTTATGTGTGTGTCTGTCTGTGTCTGTGTGTGAGTCTCTTTGCGTGTGTGTCCGTATGTGTGTATGTGTCTCTGTGTGTGTGTATGTCTGTCTCTCTCCACCTCTCTATTTATGTGTGTGTATGTCTGTGTCTGTGTGTGAGTCTCTGCGTGTGTGTCCGTCTGTGTGTATGTGTCTGTCTGTGTGTGTCTGTGTCTTTCTCTGTGTGTGTGTCTGTGTCTCTTTGTGTATGTCTGTCTGTGTCTGTGTGTTGCTGTGTGTATTATGCTTCAATTATTGTTTTACCGCCGTTTTGAAAAAAACATGTCTGCTAAAATACATCGTGGCAGTACTTTGGAGGAAGGTCCGAAGTTAGGCAGGTGTTGGACGTTTAGCATTCTGGTGTCCCACCAACTGGGTATCGGGTGCACACGCCCGAGGATATAATCAGGGGGAATTTTGGATCCGTACTCTTGATCACATGAATCGCAAGTCGCAGGTATTGCAGGTATGTGGAGATGTGAGTTGAGCTGCTATATATCGAGCGTGCAATGAATGTAATCCTGGACGGTGAAAGACTGAAGGGCCAAGCAGCGAGTCCAAAATTCGACCACGCGACCAAATGGATCCTGGCTACAAGGGGACACAACTCTGCATAGATATCTGCGTCCGCTTAAATGACTTAGTAGATGGGACGTACGTAAGCCTAGTAGTACCTTGACCGTATCATTCCTCCTGTCCTATCATTCCTCCTGTCTTACCCACCCGAGACCACGAACGATATACTCAGAGCACATATGGGATTCGGTGGCGGTGGGGTAGCCTAGTGGCTGAAGCGTTCGTTCGTCTTGCCAATGATTCCCCACATGGGTACAATGTGTCAAGCCCATTTCTGGTGCTCCCCGCTGTCATATTGCGGGAATATTGCTAAAGGCGGCGTAAAACCCAACTCACTCACTCACTCACACATGGGATTCTATTAATCGACTATTCAGCACTCGCTTAAAGAAATCTTCTGGGTTTTATTAGCATATAACTTGATTAAAAGCTGATGATTTTTTTATGTAATATATAACTACTTATATTCAATATGTTTTCTTTTTTAGTGAAACGAAATTACTTATTTAACACGATAGGGGTCATGTGGCTGCAAATTCATTTCTGTACAGATTACTTGTTGCACACTGTTGCATGACAAAGTGATGGTTAAAAAGACTTGTTGAAAATTAACAACAGTTGTTTAAATTTTCAATTACATAAAATAAAAGTATATTTATTCCTCTACTTTTGTCACATGAGCATGTGAATCACCGTCATCATAGTGAGGATACCTGATGTTGGCGAGACTGTGTTCGTATCCCAACCCAGCAGTGCTCCCGTCACAAATACAAGGGAAGGCAAGGCAAGTATTACTTCACTAATTACGCTGACACGAAATCTTCAAAATACTGTGATTTCATTTTGATAACGAAAATTGACTATATAGTCTTCCTATCATACTTCACTATACAGAGAAAGAGAGAGAGAGGAGGGGGGGGGGTTTGTAGAGAGTGAGTACATGACTAAAAGCTTATGGACCTGCCTTCGATATGGAACAACGGAAGAATTGCATACATGATTACATTGAAAAATGTGTTTAAAGGTTTACATACACACACACACACACACACACACACACATACACACATACATACATACATACATACATACATACATACATACATACATACATACATACATACATACATACATACATACATATATACATACATACATGAATCCACTAATAAACGTACCTAGTAACTTGAGATAAGTATTGAAATTTCATCCCAAGAAATGAATTAATCGTTTTCATAAATATTAAGACGTACTAATGTGTAAACGCAAATGAGTGTGAAAATTCTATATGGCAGTTTTACATCCTTTGGGCGACTTGCAATTGGGCCACAGAGGGCGTTTATTCAGAAGGCCTATCTGTAGAGGGCCCATCTTCACTGGCGATACATTCAGATGTGGACTTGATCGATTGAGGGGCTATCCATGGTGACTATTTATTCAGATAGTTTAAAGTGACTTGGTCCATAGAGGACCTATCTATGCCCACAACTAAGTATTGTCTGATGAAACTGTCTTATAGTCCTGAAATTACGATATACACGGGGAATTCGCAATTTAGACATTGACTTAAAAACTGTTCTCAAGGAATCCAATCCAGTGTATCATTTTAAACTTTACAATACATTTTCTATAGTTTCGCTAGTTGTTGGGGTATTTTTAGCGAAAGGGTCAATTTCAGCTTATACACATGTTATACAACCAAAGTTACGAACACTAGATTCGTTCTTATTAGTAAAGTTAATCAGCCCTGCCATGGCATATTAACTATATAAATATGAAAAACTCCGAATCCTTTTCGTTATCTAGATTACATATGGACCGTAATGCAGAGTTCAGAAGGTCTAGTTTGGGGTCTCATATTCACAACAACAAAAACTCGCTCCATGATCCTTCCATTTGCTCTACTCATATGGCGTTGACAATATATTTCTCTGAAGAACATGGCTCGATCTGTTTGGAAATACTATATTCTCAAACACAATTTGTCACCATAGTGAGTTTTAGAATTCATGTTCTAATATTGAGCCAAAATATGAGATGACATCAGCCGCCATTTTGAATTTCACGTTCAGTAAACTTCGCGAACGTCACCCTGCGAAAGAGCCACATAACATTCATATTCCTACCTTCAAATAAATATCCGACCAGTAGAAACACCACAATCCTGATTGAAAATATATCCGAGAGTCTCTTCGAGGTGGTATGCGCCATTGCCGGCGAGTGAAAGGTCCCACAGCAAAGTTGTCGTCTGCTTCTACTTGTCGTCTGCTTCGTCTTCCAATCTACCTGTCCCCTGGGGAAAGCAGATAGAACAATCGATTAGCTAAGTAGTTTCAGCCAAGCATGGGAGCAAGAGTCGTCCCCGGGTTCCTGCCTTGCCTAGTGCGGGTATTACATCGATTTTATTGATGGGTGCTGCAACGACAACTAAACTGGCCGTGTATAAGGCGTTTTGTGTTGCTGTAAAGCCCGGATCAACAAACAGTCATACTCGGGACTGAAGCTACAACGTGCGTGCGACTTTGTTTCCAGAGAACTGTCTCTAGGACTACAGATAACGCGGCCTGTATCTACTGGCTGAAACAACACGTGGCTGCAGGAGACATAGTTTCTCTTTATAGAACATGTTTTGTTAAATCTGATATATATTCAGCTTGTATTACTTCGTGTTTGTTTTTCAAATACAAATTTTATTTTATTTTATCATTAGTTGAATACATTAACATTTAGTTTCGCTATATCGTGTCAGGGTTTATTTATTCTCCTGGCCATTGCAAACCAGAACATCAATTGTTGTCATTTACACAAATTACAATCACGAATTAGTGTTTTGGGTAATTACGATAAATTATGCCCCGTATTCTTCACTCCTCCAGCTAAAAAGCCGAACAATTTAAACTGAACGAGACATGAATTTTGTAATAGAGATTTTTTTACTGAGTGGCTCATCATTTCATGGAAATAGTTGTTAAAATGTTTGCTCGTCACGCCGAAGACCCGGGTCCGATTCCCCACATGAATACAATGTGTGAAATCCATTGTTGGTATTGCTGGTGAATTGATAAAGCAGTGTAATCACTCACTCACTCCCTCACTCACTCACTCTCCCACCAACCCACCCAGTCCTCCCCTTCCGGTTGCACCTGCCCATCACACAATAGTTACATTAAGTTTTCTGGAACTTCCTACCATTCCAACTTACTGATCTTCTATTATGAGAACCTGTTATTCGAATTAACATATAAGCATTCAATGACATTTACAGATTGAACGATGAAAATATGCTGACTACATATTCACTGACTGAGTTTTTATATATCAATAATTGATTGCGTTGAACTTCTCTTTCTCAAACGATGCGTCCTTGGCTCTTGGCATTTCCTTTGGAAAGCATAGAAATAGTTTAAGCTCATTGTAGAATGAATGTTTGTCAGTATGCAAGCTTCAAGAGTGAGTGAGTTTAGTTTTACGCAGCTTTTAGCAATATTCCAGCAATATCACGGCAGGGGACGCCATAATGGGCTTCACACATTGTGCCCATGTGGAGAATCGAACCCGGGTCTTCGGCGTGACCCGCGAACGCTTTAACCACTAGGCTACCCCACCGCCCCCAAGCTTCAAGAAGGAGTGAGTGGGTGAGTATGGTTTTACCCAGCTCTTAGCAATATTGCAGCAATATCACGGCGGGGACACCAGAAATGGGCTTCACAAATTGAACCCATGTGGGGAATCGAACCGGGTCTTTGGCGTTACGAGCCAACGCTTTAACCACTAGGCTACCCCCCGCTCCCCGGTTCAAGTAGGAGGAGAGTGATGCCGTTCTCAGGCATTTACCACATCGTTGAAAACCAATACCATAGATATGGTGTTAGCAAACCTAGAAATACACCCGTGAAGATCAGGTCACAGTTGATCTTCAGCAACCCATGCTTGTCGTAAGAGGATCGTCGTCGTAAGAGGATCGGGTGGTCAGGCTCGCTGACTTGGTTCACTACATGTCATGGTATCCCAATTGTGTAGATCGATGCTTACGTTGTTGGCCACAGGATTGCCTGTCCAGACTAGATTGTTTACAGAATGCAGCCATAAAGCTGGAATATTGCTGAGTGCGGCGTTAAACAAGAAAGAGGGACATCACAAACAAACAAGCAAACACACAAAACCTAGAAATACAATCAGGGCAAACAAGGATTCGAACTCAAGATACTGGCGTGTCCAAATGACGCAACTGGTTCGCCGTAACCCAATGTTAGAATGGCGTTTAACAGCAGCACTGACTGACGTAATGATTGGTGTGTCGCTCTTATTATTTGGCAGCTCAAAACGATTAGAGTAGACACAGCAAGTTATATTGTAGAAAAGTATGCTGGAAGAACTTTATGTTCTTGAAATTTGGAAAAGAAATCAGCTTCACCGTTTCAGAGACAACTATGAATTTCGTTTTTGTCTTGTAAATATATTAAGTGAGCACCACAAAATCAAAACCAGCGACCAATCATGTTTGAAGATGGCTAGCGATGAAATACACAGGAAGTATTTACTCTAATTGTTTTTTCCTGTGGAGCGCAAGGCTCTGACTCCAAGCTGTCAATGAAAATGGATAATGAAAGAATTATTAGAGGCACTTTATCACACCACACTTCTCTAAAATTAAATAATGCATTTCTCTTAACAATACTAACTATCAGCCCTCAGGGAAGCTACCATATAATTTATTCTAAAAAATTACGTATTGAGATTACAGTATTAAATTAAAAAGTTACATTAAATGGACTCTCGCGCCCTCTAACGGCCGAACATTATTTCAAGCGAATCCCATAGAGTTATGTCCCTTGGGGCGCTCTTTACGAATATCCTATAACTCCTTTAGACACAGAACTCAGTCCCAGAAGCAGACACTAATGTCTGGCGCAAAAACATACGCGCAACTTGTTGTTGAAACCAGTTCGGCAAATACCGACGACACCGAGTGCGACAGTTTTCGATGTACGGAGCAATTGTTTACATTCCATATATGGCAAGTGTTATCTGTTTGGAAGCTGTTCGCCTCGAAGTTTCAATTATCGATTTCAGGCAAGTCGTAACGGATAATAAGTCTTTACTGCATTAATGGGAAGCATATGCCCCAATATATATAATATAGGCCAAATATTGTCGAAAATCACATTGTGCCTGTCACATGTTAAAATGTTTGGGAGTAAACATTAGTAAAGTAAAAATGTTGGTGCCCACAAAAGCACTAGAATCTATAGTTTACTGAGAAAGTGGACGCTGCGGTGGCTGAATTGGTTGCGCCTTACTCTGAGTGAGTTCGATTCCCGGATATGACTTAATCCCAAAACTAAAATCGCTGTGCTTTTCCCTCGATCTTCGGACGTCAATCTCAAATGGCACATCGTATTTTCAACCTCAACTCCCTGGGGAACATACAACTCGTGCAGCCACTAGTCGCACCGACTTATTGTGGCTTTCCCATCCTTACGAGGTACCCATTCAAGCAGCTGGGTGGACTGGGACACATTGTCACAGTACTTTGTCTATGTTCACTGCACGTTGCTGGTGTGCAACTAGGTGTTTGCACATATTCACGTGACCACCATGTGGTCATTTACCAACGGATTCGTGGGTTCTTTTAAGTGCACGGGGTTGTGTACTGTACACTAGGGGTTGTGACAACACTGAAAGAGTCTACGCACAAAATTGAATCCAAGGTTTTTACACCCAGTCACAGATGGTCTCGATCCCGGCACCTCAAGCTCGCTGGATCACTAGCCTGGCACCTAAGACAGCTCGCCCACCATACCCAACAAATTGCTGTGTTTGGTACGTCATGTATTACATTTATAATATGTAGCAGTTACATTTGTCCACTTTCTTAATCACATTATGTATAAATATTAAATATTAAAATTATGGGAAAATATAGTTGGTCCATCACCTTCATTACAATGATCCTCACAAAAGAATGTTTGCATGTTGGATGTGGTTCTATATGGGTTGTGTCCACATCACACACTGTTTGACGGGTTCTTATTCCACAAAGCCACCATGTTACCACGAGTACCTTTTCCCTATGATAACGTGTAGGCGCTACGGTCACCTCAGCGCTGAGATCGCTTTGTGAACGGGGCCCGATTACAATATACGCACAGAGGCGATTATATCGGGGCCTTGGACATTATTTGAAAAAAATCATTATCCCTACATATTCTTATAGCATATTGATCTGTGTTTGGAGGAATCTACTGTTAGATCATGAATGTAGTGAGTCATGAACAAGGAGACAATCAATATCACAGATTCTTTGAGAACCATGCTGACAATGGATACGTGTAGTTTATGTCTGTGGCAAACAATATGCAATCATCTGATTTAAAGAACGGTAATGTGAAATGTAACAGGGAAAGGATAATATTACAGTGTTACATTGGTAACTGTCATAAAATGTTGTAGTTATATATTATATTGGTGTAGTTGCGCGTACTACTGAATGTCAACATTATTGGCACAGTTTATGGAAATGAAAGCCACAAAATCCTTTCCACATCCACAAAGACATCGGTAGTGCAGTTCCGACCAGATCATTAGCATATGTTTATGAATCACAATCAAATGGTGATAGCACCAGGTGTTTGCGAAAAGGAAGGCTTATACTGCCGGTGGCAACCGTCATGAACATTATATGTAAAGCTAGTCAACTGTTCAGCCTAAAAACCTATAACACTGATTCCGACTATATTGTAAACAATCATGTGCTTGTTTGTGTGTATGTTTATTTCCAAACTCAGCAATATTACAGCTGCATGGACCCGTGAAGATCCGGGTTAGAACTGATCTTCAGTAACCCATGCTTGTTGTAAGAGGCGACTAACGGGATCGGGTGGTCAGGCTCGCTGACTGGGTTGACACTTGTCATCGTATCGCAATTGCGTAGATCGATGTTCATGATGTTGATCCCTGGATTGTCTGGTCCAGACTCGATTATTTACAGACCGCCGCCATATAGCTGGAATATTGCTGGGTGCGGCATAAAACTAAACTCACTCACCCACTTACAGCTGCAGGACTGCGGTCTGTAAATGATCGACTCCAGACCAGAGAGACCAGTGATTGACATCATGAGATACGATGACCGAGCTTATGCTTATTAATCGCCATCGAATAGTGATGATACCAAGCGTTCGCGAAAAGGTGAGCATATCCTGCCCCACTAGACACCCGTCGTCAACACAAGCAAAGGATGATTAATTGCTCCTCTGAAAAAAACATCGGGAACATACGGTACATATCAAA